ACTGAAATGTTTAAAGTCTAAGTTAGTTTTAATTTTAAACATACTAAATAAGTCTAAGCTAATCTAATCTAATTAAAATTTAAAAATTTATTAAAATTTTAAATCTAATCTAAAAAATTAAGTCTAAATTAAGTTTAAATCTAAGTCAAAACGTCTAAATTAAGTCTAAGTCTAATCTAATCTAAGTCTAAGGTCTAATATAATATAAATCTAAGTCCTAACATCTAAATCTAAATATAAATATAAATATAATCTAAATCTAAATCTAAATATAAGTATAAGTCTAAGTCTAAGTCTATCTAAATCTAAGTCTAAGTCTAAGTCTAAGTCTAAATCTAAATCTAAATCTAAATCCTAAGTCTAAGTCTAAGTCTAAGTCTAAATCTAAATCTAAATCTAAATCTAAGTCTAAGTCTAAGTCTAAATCTAAATCTAAATCTAAATCTAAATCTAAGTCTAAGTCTACATCTAAATCTAAATCTAAATCTAAGTCTAAGTCTAAATCTAAATCTAAGTCTAAGTCTAAGACTAGAGCCTGGTGTTGGCTCTGTACCTCTGAGTGAGAGAACACAGAAGGTTCAGTCAGAGACTTTCCCTCAGACTGTAACAGGAAGTCTGTCAGACTAACCCTCCACTATCTCCATATCAGCATCTCTAACAGAGATAGTCAGACTAACCCTCCACTATCTCCATATCAGCATCTCTAACAGAGATAGTCAGACTAACCCTCCACTATCTCCATATCAGCATCTCTAACAGAGATAGTCAGACTAACCCTCCACTATCTCCATATCAGCATCTCTAACAGAGATAGTCAGACTAACCCTCCACTATCTCCATATCAGCATCTCTAACAGAGATATGGTGTCAGACTAACCCTCCACTATCTCCATATCAGCATCTCTAACAGAGATATGGTGTCAGACTAACCCTCCACTATGTCCATATCAGCATCTCTAACAGAGATATGGTGTCAGACTAACCCTCCACTATCTCCATATCAGCATCTCTAACAGAGATATGGTGTCAGACTAACCCTCCACTATCTCCATATCAGCATCTCTAACAGAGATATGGTGTCAGACTAACCCTCCACTATCTCCATATCAGCATCTCTAACAGAGATATGGTGTCAGACTAACCCTCCACTATCTCCATATCAGCATCTCTAACAGAGATATGGTGTCAGACTAACCCTCCACTATCTCCATATCAGCATCTCTAACAGAGATATGGTGTCAGACTAACCCTCCACTATCTCCATATCAGCATCTCTAACAGAGATATGGTGTCAGACTAACCCTCCACTATCTCCATATCAGCATCTCTAACAGAGATATGGTGTCAGACTAACCCTCCACTATCTCCATATCAGCATCTCTAACAGAGATATGGTGTCAGACTAACCCTCCACTATCTCCATATCAGCATCTCTAACAGAGATAGTCAGACTAACCCTCCACTATCTCCATATCAGCATCTCTAACAGAGATATGGTGTCAGACTAACCCTCCACTATCTCCATATCAGCATCTCTAACAG